CTTCCTCCCTCCCCCTCGCGCTCTCCCCCCTCCCACTCCGGCCCCTCGCAGGGGGAGTGAGGATGGGGGGAGGACGAGGGGGAGGAAGAGATTGAAGAGGAGGAAGAGGACCAGTCTAAACCCAAGACGCAACAATGATGTTCAAATAAACCCCCCCTCCAAGTTGCCTCTTCACAGGTCCCTGCAAGAATTTGATGTTGTTGCTGAAAGTGCCCCGTTGGAAGACAACTGTGTGACAATCCACAATTGGGCCGCAACGCCATTCCTTGGATTTCAACGCCGCGAATCAACATGACTGTTGCGCCCTGAAAATCCGAAATCGTGCCAGAACACCATTTCTGGGACTACACAGCGAATCAACGTGACTGTTGCCAAGCGAGATATCCTGCCTAGATCGCGCCAAAACACCACTCTGGTGACTTTCAACCAAAACGACTCCTTGACACCGGTGTGCAAATTTGTAAGACGAACATGCGCGGATCCAACGCGAGAGCCACGGCTTGAAAAGGAGCCGCCCTCCACCCAGAAACCGCTGCAAACTTTTACCACGAGCGTGCGCGGCGCGAGGGCGAGCGCCACAGTTTGAAAAACCAGCCGCCCCCGATCCTTGGAGCTGCTGCAAACGTGGAAGACGAATGTGCGCGGCGCTCGGGCACCGCCTGCACCCCGCGCGTCTCCGGCCGCCCGAGGCCCCGCACGCCCGCGCCCCTGTCTCCCCAATCAGTGCTTTGCGCGCCCCGCCCAGCTCTTCACCAGAAGAGGCCCGCCCTCGACCCGCAGACCAAAAAAGTGCGCGGCGCTGGAGCGAGAGAGCCAGACTCTGAAACCCCCACCTATTTTCAAGAGCTGCTGCAAACTTCCAGCTTCAGGGTCCTGAGTGGTGAGGGCGCCCCAGCCGAAACGCATGGGCCGCCCTACCGACACGCCTGGGGGCGCGGCAGGGAGGAGTTCTTGAAGGGGCCCTGGAGCACACAAATAATTACACACTAATAACAGGATGCCCCACATTTTCCCATACTTTCTGGGCTTTTGTCTTCCCCCCACTTCCCATGTTTTCCCATTTTCTTGGGAATCGACGATTAGTTGTGTCTGTGTGTTTTCTTCCCTCCTGAGCTATTTATATTTATTCTCTTGCACAGGGTGTCTAGAGCTCCGACCACTTTATTTCGGCGTCGTCGTCGCTCCCCCCCAGCTGCTTTGTGCCCTTCATGTGTCGCTATATGTGTCGCTGTGTGCCTTGTGCCCTTCATGTGCCGCTATATGTGTCGCTGTGTGTCGCTAGTTATGCGTCTCCATGTGTGCGTCGCTATGTGTCGCTGTGTGTCGATATGCGTCGATATGTGTGTGTCGATATATGTCTCTATATGTCGATATGTGTCGACATGTGTCGCTATGTGTCGTTCCCCAGCACCCCAGCGCACCGCCCCCTCCGCCCCGACGACTTTATTTCGGCGTCGTCGTCGCCCCCCCCCCCTCTCCCTCTCCTCAGCAGCCCAGCGCGCTGCCCCCTCCGCCCCGACCACTTTATTTCGGCGTTGTGTCGACATGTGTCGCTATGTGTCGCTCCCCAGCACCCCAGCGCACCGCCCCCTCCGCCCCGACGACTTTATTTCGGCGTCGTCGTCGCCCCCCCCCTCTCCCTCTCCTCAGCAGCCCAGCGCGCTGCCCCCTCCGCCCCGACCACTTTATTTCGGCGTTGTGTCGACATGTGTCGTTATGTGTCGCTCCCCAGCACCCCAGCGCACCGCCCCCTCCGCCCCGACGACTTTATTTCGGCGTCGTCGTCGCCCCCCCCCCCCTCTCCCTCTCCTCAGCAGCCCAGCGCGCTGCCCCCTCCGCCCCGACCACTTTATTTCGGCGTTGTGTCGACATGTGTCGCTATGTGTCGCTCCCCAGCACCCCAGCGCACCGCCCCCTCCGCCCCGACGACTTTATTTCGGCGTCGTCGTCGCCCCCCCCCCTCTCCCTCTCCTCAGCAGCCCAGCGCGCTGCCCCCTCCGCCCCGACCACTTTATTCGGCGTTGTGTCGACATGTGTCGCTATGTGTCGCTCCCCAGCACCGCACCGCCCCCTCCGCCCCGACGACTTTATTTCGGCGTCGTCGTCGCCCCCCCCCCCCCCCTCCCTCCCAGCGCGCTGCCCCCTCCGCCCCGACCACTTTATTTCGGCGTCGTCGTCGCCCCCCCCCGGTCCCTTTTCCCCAGCAGCCCAGCGCACCGCCCTCTCCGCCCCGACCACTTTATTTCGGCGTCGTCGTCGCCCTATTTCGGCGTTGTGTCGACATGTGTCGCTTTCCCCAGCAGCCCAGCGCACCGCCCTCTCCGCCCCGACCACTTTATTTTGGCGTCGTCGTCGCCCTATTTCGGCGTTGTGTCGACATGTGTCGCTACGTGTCGCTCCCCAGCACCCCAGCGCACCGCCCCCTCCGCCCCGACGACTTTATTTCGGCGTCGTCGTCGCCCCCCCCCCTCTCCCTCTCCTCAGCAGCCCAGCGCGCTGCCCCCTCCGCCCCGACCACTTTATTTCGCGTCGTCGTCGCCGCCCCCCCCATCCCCCTCTCCCGAGCAGCCCAGCGCGCCGCCCCCTTCGCCCCGACCACTTTTTTCGGCGTCGTCGTCGCCCCCCCCCCCCCCTTCTCCCCAGCAGCCCAGCCCAGCGCACCGCCCCCTCCGCCCCGACCACTTTATTCTCTTGCACAGGGTGTCTAGAGCTCCGACCATTTTATTTCGCGTCGCTCCCCCCCCCCCCGCGTCCTCAGCGCCAGAGTGGGGCCCCGCGCCGTGGCTCTCTGCCCCAAGCCCCCCCGCGTCCCCAGCGCCCCAGCGGGGGCCCCGCCCACTGCCCCCTCCGCCACGAACGCTTTATCCCGCGTCGCCCCCCCCGCCCCCCCGCGTCCCCAGCGCCAGTGTGAGGCCCACGCGCCGTGGCTTTCTGCCCCGAGCCCACCGCGTCCCCAGCGCCCCAGCGGGGGCCCCGCCCACTGCCCCCTCCGCCACGAACGGTTTCTCCCGCGTCGCAGCTCCCCCCCCTCCCCCGCGTCTCCAGCGCCAGTGTGGGACCCCTGCGCCGTGGCTCTCTGCCCCAAGCCCCACTGCGTCCCCAGCGCCCCAGCGGGGCCCCCGCCCACTGCCCCCTCCGACACGAACGCTGTATTACACGTCGCACCCCCCCCCTCCGCGTCCCCAGCGCCAGAGTGGGACCCCCGCGCCGTGGTTCTCTGCCCCGAGCCCCCCCGCGTCCCCAGCGCCCCAGCGGGGGCCCCGCCCACTGCCCCTTCCGCCACTAACGCTTCATCCCGCGTCGCGCCGCACACCACCTCCCCCACCTCCCTCCCCGCGTCCCCAGCGCCCCAGTGGGGACTCCGCCCCGTGCCCCCTCCGCCCCGACAATTTTATTCCGCGTCGCGACGCACGCCACCTCCCCCCCTTCCCCCCCTTTCCCCAGCGCCCCAGTTGGACCCCCGCCCCGTGGCCCTCTGCCCCAAGCCCCGCCCAGTGCCCCCTCCGCCCCGACAGTTTCTTCTGCGTCGCGGCACACGCCACCCCCCCTCCTCTCCGCGCCCCCAGCGCCCCAGTGGGACCTCCGCCCCGTGCTCCCTCCGCTCCGAGCACTTATTCCGCGTCGCGACGCACGCCGCCTCCCCCACCCTCCCCACGTGGGACTTGGGCCCCGTTGCTGGGCCCAGAGGGCGATGCCTTGCCCCCTCTTCCCCCCTCCTCCTCCACCTCCTCCTCCTCCTCCTCCTCCTCCTCCTCCTCCTCCTCCTCCTCCTCCTCCTCCTCCTCCTCCTCCTCCTCCTCCTCCTCCTCCTCCTCCTCCTCCTCCTCCTCCTCCTCCTCCTCCTCCTCCTCCTCCTCCTCCTCCTCCTCCCCCTTCCTTTTTGTGCAAGGGCTATGGCACACGTGCCACTTGTCAGGCCGTGGGATGGCGGAGGAAACAGCGCCAGGCAGCAGCAGAAGCGCCGAAGCCCCCAACCAGATGACAGGTCGCCGCATGCCTAGATTTCTAAGGGGCGCTGACGGGGCGCAAGGGGGGTGCGCAACAGAAGGAATTGCCACCACTGCGAGGCGGGGATTCACACATATCCGCCGCCTGGGGAACCGATGCCCTGGACCCCAGGGAGCGGTGGATATGGGCAGATCCCAGCCTCGGAACCAAAACCCCCCTTGCTCGTGCCATGCTTCGCAGCGCGGTGGGAGACACTGCGCGCGGTCCGAGGCCTCGCCGCCCAGCACACGAGCGGGGCTGGCGCGGCACCGAAAACAAAAGAAAAGTGCTTCCCTACCGGCACCTTCTCCAAAGTGGCCCCCAGATCCCTCGCGAGGGGCACCAGCCTGTCAAGTTGTCCGGCCGCGTCCGGCGTCCGGTGGTGGCGACGGGGGCTTCCCGGAGGTCCCCAAAACCAGGCCCGCCGCGCGGGATGGCCACGCAGACTCTGAGGCACGGGCGTCCTCACAGGAGAGAAGCTCCTCTTTGGGGGGCGGGCGACACTCTCAGCCATGAGTGGCAGAGCGGGCTGCGCCAATGGAACGTCGTACGCAGTCCCGCGGAATCTTGCGCCGTCCCGCACAGTCCCACCGCGCTGGAGGTCCCTGGGAGACTCCTGGCAGGCTCCTGGCAGCAACACCCTGGCAGGCCTCGGGAGGCTTCTGAGGAAGCGACGCAGGCCTCCTCCCTCCTCCTCCCTCCCACCTCCTCCCTGCTCCATCATCCTTCCTCTCTCTTCCTCCCTCCTCCTTCCCCCTTCCGCCTCCTCCCAACTCCTCCCTCCTCCTTCCGCCTCCTCCTCCTCCTCCTCCATCCCCTTTCCTTATAGATAACTTCTCCCTGTCGCACCCCGAGGCCAGTTTTTAGAGCGGGCCAGGCGTTTCGCCTGTGACTTCCTCACCATTTATGACTCTGAAGCTTGAACATTGACAACGGTTTCACAGATGGAGGTGGTTCTAAACATGTAGTTATCATCTTAGCGCGGCGCACATTCGCTTTGAAAATTTGCAAGA